GCAATTCCAATAGCCAATGCAGATGTTTTCCATTTTGAGCCTGTCTGTTTTTCCCTGATTCTTTCTTTACCCTGTTCTTCTTTTACTAGCAACTCCTCTCTTTCCTCTCCTCCTCCCTCTCCTACCCTCAGTCCTCAGCAATGATTCAGGAGAGAGCTTTGCAAAAGGAGCACGTTCTCCCTTGCTCCTGCGCCGTTTCCTTTTTAGATTTTCTAAACTTTTACTAATGTTTGGTTTTTCTAAGGTAGAGAAAAAAACAGTCACCCTGGCAGAGCCCTATACCAGGGAAGGGACAGGGGATGTCCTTACAGAGTCCATACGCCTGGCGCCATCCCTTTTGCTTAGAAGCCAACATTAGCGACTACTTAGTCCTATAGCCATTTATCCCATTAGCACGTAGTAGGTACACTGTGAGATTAGGATTTGTGTAAGGTTGATTGACCTACAGTTGTGTATCCTTATGGCAGATGGTCAGCCACAGGACTGGTGTTTTTTATTGAGGTATTGCTCCTCTAGATTCTTAACCGCATGCGTGCATGCTAACAACATGTGTGTTGGTACGAAAGAAGGCCGCTGATTAGTCGCATAAGATATAAACCAAACGGTAAAGAGAATAATGGTTTACGATGCAGTACCATAGATGGTTTCCAGGATTAGATATGGTTCACTTCGGGAGAAAAATGAGCAAAGTGGCAAAGCCATGTCAGCGGGGACTGTTCACCCTGCAACTGCTTAGTTTTAGTACAGTTTTACAGTGCTAGCAACTGCATAAGATCAAATGAGCACCAATGAGTGGATGTCAATAGAGAAGTCCAAACGGAGAATCAGGCTTACTCTGCTCACCCCTATAGCCTCAACAGTACAAAGTCTGCTTCGACTATCAAGGCACCCCAGAAATAGCAGTTCAAAAGAGAGAGACAAACATACAAAAGAAGTAGAGGTAAAATGATGATAGTAAGGATGAGGAAAGAAAAAGAAGGAGGTCTCCTTTTGTTGTTCCTGCAACTGCAAGCGACTGCGTTGAATCTGAGCTTGCTCATTTATGTGTTCGTTGACTCTGAGTTATTTTTATTGATTTTTATGAATAACCACCCCCCCAGGAAATCCAACTCCTTTTGCTGAATCCGAGTTTTCGTTGAATCCGACTTCCAATGTATGTAGCAATTGAAATTTACAATTTAACCCTATTCGTATACCCTGGGGTCACTTTGTACCCCCATGGTTGTATTCTTCACATTTGAGAAGACTTCTAGTCCAAAGATCTCTATGAAACTTTCAGTATTTCTCAAAAAATCATTTTGAGAGACTGCTATGCAAAGCGTACCGATCGGATTAACGAGTAAATTTACCCTTTGGAAAGTGGTGGCACAGAGTTTCCCATGTGGTATGGATATGATAGTAAAACACGACGTATGGATAAGGTTTAATAAATTCTTACGTTAAAAACAATAAAAATCTGGCTCCATCATGCTCTTAGGCATATTGAATGTTCTGTTTAGATTTTGAGGTTGGAAAAGCGTGTGGTTTCTTCTTAAGACGCAAAGATTGAACCACCAGAATTGTATTATATAGATTTTTTAAAAAAATATTTAAAAAAAAAAATTTATAAAAGATTTTCGATGAAAAAGTTTCTATGAATGGGTCAGGTAGAATGGGAACTCACCATACTGAATCATAACAGTTCATACTTATAACTAAAAAAAACCCAAACCACTTGTTAATATACTAAAATGTTGGATTTAACTTTGGTTCATTTATAAATTTCAGTCATGGAGAAAAACATCAACAAGTTAATGGGCTTAAGTACAGTTAAAAGGCAAGATAGACAAACAGAATCATGAGAAAGGAAAAATGTGTTCATTAACTCTTCATCTCCGGCTCGGGCACACTCCTTTACGACGACTTCGACATCAAATTACTTTTCGGCAATTGTCGAAAACAGGTCTCTTATACCGGAAGTTCATTCATTAGATGAAGAACTATCAAAATAGGTTTGCTAGTTTCGATTTAATGATCCATTTAAAGCAGTTTTCGTCATTTTTAGATTTAGCACCAAAAAAAGGGCCCCGGCGCAGTGGGTTTACCTTCCTCGGAGATAAAGAGTTAATTGATCTAAAAAAATGCACATATCCACTACATGGACCAATTTGAACCACATTTTGTTTGTCAAGGACAACGTCAAAGAGAAGCATCTTCACACAATCCCATGCAGTTGGAACTGTCCCACCCCCCTGCCGAAAAAATAATTTTAAAAAATTACAAGGACCACACTTAAATTTCATGAGCAGAATGAGGAATGCACGTTACTGATTTGAAGTTTTGGAGCAGAAAAACGGATTAAGCTCTTCAAGCTGCAATGCCATTGTCATACAAAATGTATTAATTTCAAAGCAGTAGCCATAAACTCAAAGGAAACTCTGTAATAAACATGCATTGCCCTTCGGTCACTTGGTCAAACAAGACTTTTAAATTACATACAGGGAATAATAAACTGAGCCAAAGTCAAACAGATCTATGCTTATGCAGACAGCATGAGATATAATAATACTGCAAACGATAAGGAATGATTTGTTCAGTTTTTGTTAGAGTTTTAAGGCACCTGCAACACAATAGGATCATATAAGTGCGGAACATTAGAGGTGTTTCAATTACAAGAGAGAAACAAACAAAAAAAGAGGGAGGAGAGATAAGGAGGAGTTTTTTTTAATTAAAGAAAGAAGGTGCAAACCACACCAAAGCATTCACCATCCACCCATGATAAAGAGTGTAGTAGGTTGGCAGGTTCTTTGGAGTGGTTTGGTCCTTCCCTATCAAACATCTGTCGTCCATATCTCTCCTTCTTTTCTATGTAATTTACTCTCTTGTAGCCCCTCTAATTTTTGGCACTTATATAACCTATAAGCATTGCAAGTGCAGTAAAACTCTTACAAAACCTAAACTAATTTAAGGGGAAACTGAAAAAAGGCAAAAGACACTGAAGACATTAGAAGGATAATGATCATGGGGTGACTTCAGCTCTAGATTTACAGGGTTACGGTGGCACTGACACTGTAAGTATATACTTGTTTAGGTGCGAGGAAAGTTTGACAAAGAGGGCTTGCTGGGTGGACAGCACAATATGGCCACATTTTGACAGGATAAGCAGAGGATAAAAATAATAAGTACGCCCATAAAAAGAGACCAAAAAAAAATTAAAGCAGACGGGAAGAGTACACATCTACAGTTGTAAATTTCACACGAAATGGGATATGCACTAAGTCAATTAGTATTAGTAGCATTTTTAGTAGTTTATAAGTATCAAATGGAACTCAGCAAGGATAAACTTTGATCTCTACCAGACACAGTCTCCAGAGCAACTGGTCTACAACAATTATGAATCAATGAGCAACGGTCTTGACTAAAGTGACAGCATATTACTGTCGAAGGTATCCAACATTCTTGTCTTGAATGACCAAAGGAATGTAAGTATCTTACACTACCAAGGCAAAAAATAATAGGTCCCAGTCAGTTTGCTGGAGTGGAATTAAGTTATCTTTGGTCCAACCCCCCTTCTCCCCCCCCCCTCCCAAATTGTATATTGACTCTTCGGGGATTGAACTGTAATGAGACAAAATGGCGTGAACTCTGGCCAAAATGGTGACTGCCGTAGTGCAGAGGTTTTGCAAAGGGTTCACCCAAATGAAAAGACAGAGATAGAGAGAGAGAGAGGAACATTACTATAGTAGCCAGGGTCTAGAACAAAGAAGTACTAAGAAACTGGCACCTTCAGGCGCTTTACTCAAGTAGGCAAGAATATCTAAAAACTATTCCTTATGAATTGTTATATAACTCACTGCACGCTAAAATTGACCCATCCCAAAGCAAAAAAGGCACAGCAAGCAAAAGCACAAGATGAAGGTAGGTTGGGAAAATAACTGATAATTAGGAAAAAAACAAAGAGAAATAAATCTGTGGTACAGCATCATACAAAATACAAGTAGGCATACCAAAAAGTACAATGTCATTCTTTTTTCCCCCCCATTAAATGTAATAAATGGCTGTGTGGCAAAACCAGAATAGGACATACTCACAGAACTAACACAAGGAACATTGGGAAAAAACTTTAAGTGCTGCTCTCACTGATTTTGGGTTTGATGGCTTTAACAAAAAAGCCATTGACTAATGTGTTAGAGAAAATATACAAGTCCGAATTCATTATTTTTTAAAAAGAAAAATTTGCAACTTTATCATTAATTATACAGTGAAAACCTGATATAACTGGGGTGGTGGGACCAGAGAAAAAAATCCTATTATATCAGATCCCTGTGAAATCAGAAATAAGCATTTGTGGACTAATCAAACTGTATTTGTTAATGGGTAGTTTCCCCTGCAAAAAGTACCCTGTGCATGACACATTACGCGTGTGTGTAGCTGGGCTTAGGGCTAGATCGAAGTCTGCAACACACCGCAGCCCTTTCTTGCTTTACCCGCTGCGTGTGCCTGCAGTGGCATGGCCAGCGTGGGCTCACTCCATCTCTGCGTTACTCTCTCCCTCTCTCTATCTTACTTTTAACACATTGCTAACGAGCCTTTGTCCCTGCTATAACCCATTGGGCTCCAATGAGGCCCTGTTACTGCCGATAACTTTTAATAGAGACAAAGAGTAGGAAAAAACGGGGATTTAAAAAATCCCAGTTATTACCGGATCCCTGTTATTACCAGGTCAGTTATATGGTTTCCACTGTACACTAGATTGCCTATCCACTAAAACTAAGTCCCACTTAATTCATATTTAAGAAAGTGAAAGAAATTCCAAACACTAACAGGAAAATAAATCTAGATAGACAGCAAAAAGGAAGGAACAAAAAAGCACTGAATTATTATAATATATATGTAACTACAAGCAGAAAATCAATTGTAGGCAATTCCAAAGGCTAAAAGAAGCGGGAGAGGGTTGCTATTGGCATACCTAAATGTTATGGTCCAGTTTCTACTTCTACCACTTCTACCAGTGGCCTTACCTGATGGGCATAAATGGTGTCATATACCAAAGTCCACAAAACGCAAGAGAAATACAGGGGCAGGCAGACGGACCAATCGTTGGATCCCTGAACAGCCGACCAACCCAGCAGAGCCCCATAGTTGAATGTGAACCCTACAAGAAGGGGCGAGAAAGTATGGGCGGGAAGTTGGCCCATAAAGTCATTAGCTTCGAAGCAATGAATTTTCAAATCAAAAGGTCATATCACCAAGTTTTGTAACCCTCTCAAAGCCCATTTGATTTCATAATGACAATCTTTCATTGCTTCAAATCCTTGGGAAATATACAGCATTGCAGCCTGTTAAGAACCTTACTCTCTTATTCACATACACAGGTAGGCTATGAACCTGGCAATGAACTCCTTTGCAGTTCGGTGAACTTGGAAAAATAAGGCAAAGAATCTTTCCTATACTTTGCAAGGAATTAAAACCATATTTGATGGGGGGGGGGGGGGGGGGGGGGGGGGGGTTGGTAAGTGTTTTACGATGTTTGCAACTGCAAAAGGTCATATGAGCGCGCAGGACACATTAAACAGTTTGGTAGGAATTATGAATTTTGCCTGGGTGGCGGCCGAAGCCCACTCTTATTAATTTTAGGACCACCAAGGGATCTTCAATGGGCGCAACTTGCACATGGGACCTCAGAGATTTTTTCACCATTATCCGAGAAGGCTAGATGTTAGATCTTACCTACCATAAGATCAGGGATGTGGCTGAAAGACAGTAGTGAGAGAAGGAGAAAAGGAGTAGCAGTAGAAAGAGTCAGGAGCCTAGAGGAGGGTGCAAAAAAATAGGGGGGAGGGGGGTGGGGAAGAAAGGAGACGACACAATATGGTTGGAGAGCAGGAAAGGATGTGAAAGGAGAAAATACGGAGAAGAAAAATTTTCTGTCGCTATCAGGTTTCGAATTCAGGACCTATTGAATGAGAGGTGAATAACATAACCTCTAGACCTGGAGAGCCCTAATTTGATAGTGAGCCTAACCACATTACCAGTAAACAAGGATGCCCCACTGCTGTCCACAAAATACTTTGATATAAATGTCCCACAGCATCTTCCCTCCACATATCTGCTCTAAAGTTCCGCGTACCTCAAAAGGAAACGACAGTCCTGGACACCAGACTACTATCAAACAACAAACGTTTCCATTTACTTTTAGTAAGCCGTATATTAGAAAGTTTCAAAATCTATATCTTTTTAAAGCAAAAAAGACCACAAAAGAGAAACAATTGAGATTGATTGATTGCAATGTTATTAGAAAACTCAAATGCTGTTCAAAAAAGTCCCTGCCATAACAGATAAAAAGTCTGAAGATAATTGTTTTTGTTGCCACAGACCCAGTGGTAAACATAGGAATCTGGTTGACCTCATCTCAATTACACTTACTTCATTCCGTTATTCAAAATAAAATGTGGTTTTCCTTGAGTGACAAAATCACAATAAAAAGCCAGGAACCAGAAAGAAATAACTAAACTTGATAAACATAAATATGATTATAGTACAATTTATGGGTTTCCACTTGTACATGCAGTCAGTCACCAAAAGGATAAAGACCTAAAATTTTATAGAAGAACTTATGAAGAAAAAATGGACTTGAAAACTAATAAGTCTTCATAAAGCATGAGATAAATTCTTAGATGCCAGTCTCAGAATACAACGCGTCAGCAAATGCTTTACACAGAACAAATTCAGTAGGAATCCACAACAAATTTTGGTTGGAAATTTAAAAAACCCAACTCATTATTTAATAAAATGACGTATGAAAACAACCAACTCCCTCCCCCCCCCCTCCTGTTTCCAAAAGTAAGAACATGAAAAATATTTTCAAAAGCAATTTTAAAAACGTATGAAATCCACCAGGTCCCATTAGAAATGGCACAGGTTTAACAAGTCACAGATATCTTTTTTACTATCCTTTCCATTTTACACTTTCAACAGAGATTCACTGTGGATCTACACTGTACAGCAAATCTAGCATGAAGCTGTCTATGACAGAAAAGCAACAGAAAAATGACCTACAAGGCTAATAGGTGGCGATAGGTGCAATGCAGCAGAAAAAAAAGCCAATAAATGGCAATGTCACAACACATAAGTTGAGCTGACACACGAAAAACAGAATGTTCTTTACACACTACAGAAAGATAAAAATATCCCCTAACAACAGAAGCTAAAAGAAATCTGAAGCATATTCCTCTCTAATTTAGCATCAAAAGGTTGTAAACTTTGTTATAAAATAACATAGGAAACACTTGAGTATGAACAAACGGCTTCAGGCTTCATGCATATGGAGTGTAGAAAACTCAAAGAGCAAAACTAAAGAACAGGCCTCACTACTTTGTAACCTCCTTTGCATACTCTTAACTGTTTCTTTCCAAACTTGCAAAAGTGTCAAGTATGTAATAGACCTATTTCAGGACCAATTCTTTAGTTTTGCCACTCAAAGCACTTCAGAAAATTTTATTCTATGCCACACAGACATTTCTTGACAAAGCACAATACTCATTTACAATTTGTCAAGCACACTCTCGGCAAAGACTTACAAAATGTGGCTCATATAATATTATATTTCAGGGAGAAAAGTTCGTTCAAAGAGGTGTGGGATTGAGAAATCCTGAGCACAACAAAGACCCATCACCAATCATAACCTAAAAGACAGTTGGGTTGAGTGGATAAATGCAGTGAAGATTTTTTTTCAACATGCACAGAAAAAAACTTGACCCAACAAACACATCAGTCTCAACTGCAAATGACAACCTTTCGTTTTTAGTGCTTCTTTCACGTGCATCAATTTGTATTCCCCCCTCCCCCCCCCCCACCCCCTTAACTCCCACCCACTTAAAGAGGAGGGGGGGGGGGGTCTTGAATTCGCCCTCCCCCGGTCAAAAAAAAAAAGGTTACCAGTCGGAGAAGCTGACCATGAAATCCCCCCCCCCCCCCCCCCACTTTTTTCTTTAATGAAGCTAGCGTCACTGTTGTGTCACTGGGCTTAAACAGATTTTTATGAGTGTACACTTGAAAGAAGTTTTGGGCAGGTTATAGCAATCACTGATGTATTATGTATTTTGTACACCTGCGTTGTGTGTGTGGATAAATCATTGATATCCAACATAAAATGATAAGTAGATACCCTCTTTGAGGTCCTATTCCTACTTCCCCATGGAGAGCAGGGATAACTATAACACTGTACTTCAAATTAAGAACACAAACACACGCACGCAATGCTCAGAGATATGAAAGATCATTTACCAGTGTCGATACCCTACTTCGGTCATTTAAAAAACTATTGGGTTACAAAAGGGGGACGAGTCAAGGATCAAACTTTCCGCACGCAGGACTGTAACGTCATGTGGGGGCGAATTGTATTGCGTCAAAGAGAACAAAGAAAAAATATTTCATTGCAAGTTGCTCATTTTGCAATGGTGTTCCCCTCCCCCCCCCTCCCCCAACCCTTAAAAAAAGACAGCACGCAATAAACATAGTGTGTGAAGGTATTTGAAGACTTGGTACGTTCTCTTAACAGTACAGAGCATTTACTACACCAAAACAGAGTAGATTTTGCTAAACATAACACTACAAATTATCATGTGAATTCAAAGTGATAAAATTTGGTGAAATTAAAGGAAATGCTTAATCTAGGACTACTACTGGAATCCTTCCCAAGTTTACATACAACTCTAAAGTTGAGTTTCAACATTCTAAATTCACAGAGCACTATCGAATAAATAGACCGGTTTATCAAAACAATCAAATAAACTTGATAAAGCTTTTTAATGATAGACAAGATGTGCAGACAAGAAGCTTTGAAAAAAAATCAGACCTCACTCACAAAAATTGAAATAATCAACAAGAGTATAGTATTAAGGGTGAAATAAAAAAAAAAAAAAAAAGAATCCAAAATCAGATCACAGAATATTGAATAACTACAGTATGAAATTTAATTATATTAACCAAATGTCGCATATTTTTAAAATCCTCATCAGCCCCCCACCAAAAAAAAAGGAACAAAAGGACCCCAAAAAAATGACAACAGAAAGGACAAAAAAATACACCAAAAAGTTTCTTGAATAAAGCTGTCCACAGTGGCATCTAATAATGTTTCTTAATCATACTGCGATGTTGCATGAAAACAAACAAAACAGTGGGACATCCTCAAGATCTATGAGAAATACACAACCAGCAGAGAACATAACTACAAAACAAAACCTGAGAAAAAAAAAACCCTGATAGCAACTGACTGCATATACCTGATGAGAGTAAATGGTATCGTAAATGATGGTAAAAACTGTGCAGGCCGCGTACAGACTCAGGGCTGCCAGCTCCACTGAGCCCCTCATCTCACTCCAACCCAGCAGAACACCCCAGTTTAATGTTAGCCCTGGGAAAATGAGGCCATCAAAGGTGAACATTAAGACTAAGATACTATAAATATAATAACTGAACTGGTGGAACAACATGCCTATTCTTATTTCAAAGCAAATACCAGTGAACTTGTGTCCTACAGAGTACACATATCTGAAAAAACAACAACTAGTGTTTCGATAGATAACAGATTCTACATATTTTTAGTGAAAAACAATTATTTACCACTGTCAGTAATTACACAAGAACAGTATTTACTTCATGTTATTGGAAGGGGGGTACCATTATGGGACCAGGGAAGGAATTAATTTCATTACAATCAATAAGAAAAGCCAAATTTTAGCTGATATCGTTGGAGGGAATCAAAACTTTGGGTCAATTAGTCTACTCCATAAGTTACCACCTAATTGGGTGTATTTGTAGTTCCTAAGAGTTTTCATATGTAGACATCATATATAGCTCTTTTGTACAGCTTTGGCCTTGTGACAGTTGATCTTAACCCACAAAGTCAGTAACAAATAACCTGTGGTGTCAGGGGAAATTATGTGATTTAACCATAATATTATGTCGAAAAAATGCTTGAGAACAGGCAAACCAGCCAAGTAAAGGCCATAAACGTAAACATTTTCAGAAAGTAGAAAAGAAATACATAGTTGAGCTCATTTGTGAAAAAGTTAAAAAGTTTGGTGGTGTGAAAAATGGGACAAACGAACCAATACAGCCACTCAAATTATGTCTGATTAAATCGGCCGCGAATCTTACTGCTGATTTAATTGGCCATCGACACTTGGATGATTAAAGCATTATGTACAATCAAAGATCCTACATAACAAGATTGTTCACTAGCCAAAAAAGTGTCAGAGGAAGTCTGCACATTGCTTCAGATGGCACTGCAGTCTTTGTTTTGAAGCTCTCTTTCTTTTTTCCAGAAGAAGAATAGGAATAGCACAGTTTGTTATTTTCACTTTTATTGTTGTTCCACACAAGTAGGGTAACTCTGTTCGCAAAGTCCATGCTTTTTCGAAGAAGACGCCACTGAATTTTGAGGACACATTTCTAATTGGCTCAAAGAGAGGAATGAACTATCTTGTTATACATGATCTTTGGCATAATACAGCTTTGCGTGGGAGGGTCGACATTGAGGAAGTAGAATGCCCAAGTACTACAGTAAAACTCGGATATCTTGAAGTCGTTGGACCAGACCTCTAATTTAGTTAAATTCGAGTGTTTGTGATATCAATGTGAGCAGTGTGGGGTTTATCATATGGCAATGCTTGTTCCCAAAGATCAGAGCACAATCCATGACATAGTCCTATGTCTAAGCTAGCCTTTCACTGTTCAGTAGCCCAGGAGGAGGGGAGGGGAGTATGACTGTGACGCATCTGCAAGATGTTTCATGCCAGGAACGCATATGCTAACGCTCCTCCGATCCCTAGACATACGTAATAACAGCCACACATGTGCTGGCCGGCCATGTGACCTCTCCTGATCCCTGCACCTGCACATGCTAGGACAAGTCATGCCTTACACATGTGTCAACAACATATACATGTTGGCGTGAAATGTGAAAGAGAGCTTCTGATTGGTCATATAATATGTATGCAATAGGCTAAGCATGTAATGACCCATGGTGCAGGACCGATTGATAGTCCCTTGGAATAGAGGTGATAAACTTTGTTGCAGGAGTAAAGTCTTGAAGCAATATCAGTGGGGGGGG